TTTTTTTACAGTATGGTTTTACCTCAATAATTACAGCAGGAATTGAGAAACTGCCATGTGTTATTTGTTGTTAAGTTCTATAAGCCGAACAAACTAACGTGCCATTTTGATAGCAAGCATCGCATTTTGCTGGCAAGGATACCAACTATTTTAGAACAAAGCTGATTGACTCAAGAAAGCCAGACTTGACACTGGTGGCGAGTACCACAAGCAAAACGTAGCAGCTGTTGAAGCTTCATATTTGGTGGCAATAAGAATTGCCAAAGCTATGAAACCTCACACCATTGCTGAAGATTTACTGTTGCCAGTGGCCAGAGGCATTGTTTGAGTTATGATCAGAGACAAATTTGTTATGAAACTGAGTGCAATTTCCTTATCTTAATGACACTGTCTGCAGAAGAATAGATGACACATCTGCTGATATTCTTGAGCAGGTAATCCAGGAAATTAAATTTGCTCCACTTCCAATATTTAGCATCCAGCTTGAATCTACAGACATTGCAAACTGTTCACAGTTCCTAGCTTACGTGAGGTACATTAATGATGACAACTTTAAAGATGAGTTTCTTTTTTGCAAACCTCTTGAAACAACAACTACTGCACGTGATGTATTTGACATAGTTGGTTCATTACTGAAAGAGCATAAGATCTCTTGGAAAAGGTTTGTGGTGTTTGCACAGATGGTGCTCCAGCTATGCTAGGATGTTGATCTGGATTTCAACATTTGGTACTAAATGAGTCACCAAAAGGCACCGGGGGAACTCACTGTGTGATTTATCAGCAAATATTAGCAATGAAGACACTGCCAGAAGAGTTACAAGAAGTAATGAAAAGCATCATATATTCTGTCAATTTTGTAAAGGCAAACACTTTAAGCAATTGACTGTTTTTGCAATTGTGCAATGAGTTGGATGCGCTAAATAATGCTCTGCTATTTCACACTGAAGTGAGACAGTTGTCAAAAGGAAAAGTTTTAAAACATTGTTTTGAGCTGCGTGATGAATTCAAAATGTTTTTTAATCAGAAAGCAATACCTCAATTCGAAGCAGTTTTCAGCGATAAAAGTGAATTGCAGTTAGTGTCAGTTCAGAAAAGCCTAAGTGTCGAAAGGAAGAAAACAAGCAGAGAAGTATCGTCTAAGAAAGAGGAACGTTAAGCAGAGAAAGGAGAAAAAGGATCAAGGCGAAGAAAGGACGGAGGAGGAAATGCTGTGGGGCCAGTCCATCCTTGGATTTTGAAATCACATGGTTGGTTCTCCTAAGATCGTATTGAGCAAAAAATTGTTGAGTAGTTTGGTTTTGTGTGTTTCATGTTCATATTACTTTTCTTACATGAACAGGTATTTTAATCTCTAACAAAGACCAGTTGAATGGAAAGGATTTAGTATGCTTACTCTCCAACACGGAAATTACTTTTCCTTATTCTCTAAAAGCAGCATTACATTTTTCTTATATATAATGTAATTTCCCTTAATGATAATGACTCTGCTTTTTATCAAAAAAATTGCTATGATACTCGAGTCATTTTCCCTTGGGAGATTGTTTGAAATTGGAGGGTTAATAAGCTTCTCGGAATCTATTTCTTGGTTGGGGTTGCTTTGGTTTTAGCTGGACACTTTTATGTTTGTTGGTTTTCTCTATGAGCAATTTAGATTGATTATTTTCTTTGTTAGCGCTAACATGTTGTGTACATTCTAGGTTGGAAACTGGAAAATTAAACCTATTACAATAATAAGCTTAGATTTAAATCTGGTTTTAAAAGTTCTCAGAGTTCTGATAGAAAATCAGCTTATATTCTGTACTTGTTTTCAATAAAGTGTTTTAATTTCAAAAAATTGATAAATTATCAAGGGCTCATGAAGGAGATGGTGGGGGAGGTAGGGGAAAAATGAGGAGCTGATACCAAGGGCTCAAGAAGAAAGAAAATGTTTTGAAAATGATGATGGCAACACATGTACAAATGTGCTTGACACAATGGATGGATGTATGGATTGTGATAAGAGTTGTACGAGCTCCCAATAAAATGATTTTTAAAAAATTAAAAGAAAAAGTGAATTGTAGAAAATAGCTTACTTGCTTGACATCTTTGCCATCTTGAATGAGTTAAATTTATAACTGCAAGGTGTACATGCAATATGCCCCGATTTGTCTGAAAAGATCCAATCATTCCAAATGGAACTTCAGCTTTGGAAAAACAGCAACAACAAAACTGGATGAAAATAAAATTTACATGTTGCCTACCTTATCTGCTTTCTTTGAGGAACATGACATTGAACCAGACAAGAGGGTTACCAGGATACTTTTTGTGAAAGAACTCTTGCACATGCTTGCAGAAGAAATTTCATTGTACTTTCCAAGTCTACCTGACACCCCATTTGAACTTGACAGAAGCCCATTCACAGTCAAAGTTGAAGATGTTCCTGAGACAGCACAAGAGGAGTTCACTCAACTTATTAACAGTGATGCGGTTAGAATGGATTTCTCTAGCATGCCAGTTACAAAATTCTGGATCAAGTATTTGCAGTTATATCCTATTCTGTCTGAGACCGTGTTGTGCTTTCTTCTTCCATTTCCAACAACATATCTTTTGTGAAACGGAGTTTTCCAGCTTGTTGGTTATCAAGTCTAAATACAGAAGTAGACTTGTTGTGGAAGGCATCTTCCTTGTGCTCTTGCAAAGACTGCCCTGAGAACTTCTGATCTGGTGAGAAAGAAGCTATCTCAACCTTTGCACTGAAGTTGGCTTTTTCTGCATACTGTCGCAAAATGTAGCAATGTAGTTTACTGTTGTTATATGAAGACAGTTACCCATGCTACACCATGCTTCAAGACAAATTTTCATTTATTTGTAATTAGAAATAAACATTTCACAATGTATTGTTTTTGTGATTAATCACTATGTTTTAATGATGTTCAATTTGTAACAATGAAAATACATCCTGCATATCAGATATTTACATTACATCATATTTACATTATGATTCAGTAGCAAAATTAGTTATGAAGTAGCAACGACAATAATGTTATGGTTAGGGGTCACCACAGCATAAGAAATTGTATTAAAAGGTCGTGGCATTAGGAAAGTTGAGAACCACTGCCCTGTAGAGATGCTATGAGTGAGAATCTCTGAGATAGCAATGGGATTTGGGCGTTAATAGATGTGTAGTGTATCTCCTTGTGGTCTTCATCATATTTCTCCAATGGTCAATAGGATCCCCGGTGGTACACTCGTCAAGCACGTGACTGCTAACTGAAAAGCCAGCAGTTCAAACCCACCATTCACGCCTTGGCAGAATGATGTGGCAGCATGTGTCCACAAAGAGTTGCATCCTTGGAAACACTAAGCAGTTCTACTCTTGTCAGTTCTGCTCCCACAGGGTCACTTACTATGAGATGGCATTGACCCAACAGTACCAGGAATGGTTACTGATTATGAATTTCTCACCCCCATGTGCTTACTTCCCATATCAACAGTCTCTTTGATGAAGTGTCTTTCAGGTTCCTTTTTGGATGTTTAAATTGGGTTATCTTTCGAGTTTTGACACTCCTTTCCATAGTGTGTGTACCAGCGCTTTATTGGAGATGTGATTTGCCAATATTTTCTCGCTGTCTTTAATTTTTAACTTTATTCCTTAAATTGTATTTCATGTGCCAATTTTCTTAGTTTGATTTCTCTTTCCTTCCCGCTTCCTTCTCCTTCTCTTCCTCCCTCTCCCTTTCTGTCCTTCCTCTTCTCCCATTCCTTCTCCTTCCTCCTCTCTCTAAATCCCAGGAGAATGTGTGCATGGCTGCAGGGATTAAAACTCCCAAAAGATGGGAGCTGATGATATCAAACACAACCTTTGTTAACTTTGATCTCAGCAACTGCACAGCCATCCGGACATGTTCAGGATGTTCCAAGGGACAGGGTAAGTTGTTTGAACGGTCAGGACCAATGTTCAATAAGGGCAATCCTTCAGTGAATATGATCAAGAGCGGCAAAACATTTGTGATACATTATTTCTTTGATATAAGACTTTTTCTGTAGAAACTACTGCTCACATTTCTGAAAAAAAACAACAAAAACACCCAGAAGCAGCTAGGTTAAGGTGACCAGATTTAAAGCAGGACATCATTGACCAGGTTGTGGTGGTGGTGGGGGCGGCCCCTGATTAAAAATTTGGTCTATGTGGACCAAATAGACCGTTCCCTAGCTTGTCGTGCATTCTTTCCCAAAATCGGGACTTTTAAAAAACGCCAAAAATTGGGACTGTCCTGCCAAAAGCTGGACATCTGGTCACCTTAACCTAGGTCTTCCCATGGGGTTTCAGAGGCTCTTCACCCTCTCCCTGTTTTGGCCCCTGTCACACACTGTCTTTGGAGTGCTGTCTCTGCTGGACTGTCTATCTTGTCCAGGGTCATATTGTTAATATGTGGCAGAGAGCCTGTGCCTAATGGGCAGTTCATTGATTAAATAAATGCATGGGGTTGGATGGATGAGCCCACACATATAACCTAACACAGAGGCAACCTTTCTTGAAAGAGCCAGAGTTCAGGTACTTAACGTTATTAACAGACTGAGGCTTGTTATGTGCATAAGGAGAAGCTTATGGGTGTCTGCTCACTTGTTAACCACATCTCAGAGGGGGTGAGGACTAGCTGGGAGGACTCATGGTCCAAGGTGAAAAGAGGGAGAGAGCAATGTAGTTGATTTGATCATTGCAAACAGCCAAACCAAGTAATTCAAATCAATATGCTCTGTGGAATCACCAATTTAGATCATTGTTTGTTTTTTTAATGAAATGAATAAACAGAAAGTCCCCACTTTGCTGCTGCTGCTTCCTTTCCTATGTAGGCAGAGCCAACGCATGCTTTTGAGTGCTGTCTGGGGTTAAGCTTGTGCGAATAATAATGGGAACATAAGATGCCTATGATGAGCATTTCAAATCACAATTCCTTGGTACTGTAATAACTTCGCCTTTGTATATTATTCACAAGACAGGGAAAAAATATCACACTATTTATGAGTACTAATCCCTTCTCAGAGGCTGACCTAGGCTTTGTTTAAGGAACTGGGGGTAAAAGAAGAAAACATCAGATCTTTGAACCAGTTCGGTCTGGTTTAGTCATGATTAGTACAGTGATGTGGAATAGACTCAGATTTGTAAAGTGTGGGTAAGTTGTTACAGTAATAGGTATGGGAAACATTATGGGATAAAACACTGCTAGAAACTTAATCTCCCAAGTCTGAGAAAATAAAGGTAGTGTGCACATTGTAAAGCAACCCAATCTCTTCACCAGATGAGGCGAACATGGTAGTATGTGACTCAAAGTTGGAGGCCAGCCACACCATTTGATTGTGTGTTGCTCTCCATAGTTCAGGCAATTATCCAATGTCACACACCAGGCTCCTGAAACGGCTCAGAAGACTGCCTTTTCTGAGTCCCCCTTCCAAGGTTTTGACCAGTAATCCTTCCCATTTCCGGTTCGCATTCCAAGTCACCCACGTTTGAAAAATTCTGGTCTCTTCTGATTTTACTGGATCAGCTCTGATTGGACTGGTTCAAACAGGCGTAGAGCCCCAAATAGTTCCTCTAAATCCACAGCCATTGAGTCAGTTCCAACTCGTAACGACCCCATCTATGGTCTCTGAGTTAGTAAATATTTACTAGCCTAATCATTCTCCCTTGTAGGGGTTAGTGGGCTTGAACACATGACCTTGTGGTCAGCAGTCCAATGCCTACCCAACAGTGCCAACAGGTGTCCTTCCTTTGTTCTCTCTCTATATATAGATAGCTATATATCTATATCTATGTATATATATACATATAGATATGTATATCTATATGACTCATAGCAACCTGGTATAAGGCTTCCGAGGCTGTCAATCTCTGCATGAGCACATAAGCTCATCTTTCTCCTTGGAGCAGCTAATGGATTTGAACCACTGAACTTCAGATTAATCGTCCAGTGCTTATCCACAGCATGTCCTGAAGGAGTTCTTAACCCAGGCATGAGAAGTGTCTAAGTCAGTCATTTTAATACAGTGTGATGAGTGCAGGATTAGAGGTGCATGAAGGGCCTGAGGAAGGGGGTCAAGTAAGAATTCACTGTGATGACTTTCAACCATTTGAAAGATGAACAGAAGTTTGCCAGGGGAGGAGGCAAGGAAGGGTTTCTGGGTAGTAGGAACAGAATGTGGATATTAACGAACAATACACACACATTTACATCTGTGATCAAAGGACACAATTGTGCTTGAGCCACTGCAGGGAAGTCCCGTGTGACGAAGTGCAGCGCTATAGGTGGTTGTGCTGTGAGATGACCTACAAACGACTTACAACAGCTGGCACAGTGGAACTGTGGCTGTGTGGCTTTACTGCCCCATTGTTAGCATTTTGCTTTTTGAGGTACATTTGTTACACTTTATGAACTGATACTTACACATTATCACTCACTAAAGGTCATAGGAATTCTAGTGCCACAGTAGCAGAAGTGCTAGGCTTCTAACCCAAAGGTCACTGGTTCAAACCTGTGGGAGAAAGATGTGGAAGTCTGGGTCCGTAAGCACACACGACCATGGAAAGGCTGCTAAGTCCTGCAGCATTGCTGTGAGTGGGAATCAAGTGGACCACTATGGGTTTAGTTTTGCATTTTCTAGCATCGAGGTTCATTCTTCATGCTGTACAATTCTTTGTGTTTTGACAAATGTGTAATGTTGTTTATTCGCTATTATGGTATCAGAGAGATTGTCATGCTTCTCTACAAAAGAATCCTTCACTCCACCATGTCATCCCTCAAGCCACCTTGACAACCCTGAGAAACCATGAATTTATGTCAACTGCCTGCATAGTTTTCTTAAATGCATATAGTTGAAATCTTCTACTATTTAGCTTCATGGATATTTTATGGTGTATATAATAATGCAGTTTGTTACTATATGTCCTGGGGGAGGAGTAATCAATTATTTTCCTTTTAATGATAAACCAGAAGAACACACTGCCATTGAGTCAATTCTGACTCATATGGACTATCAGACAGAGGTGACCTGTCCCCATGGCTTTCCTGGCTGTGATATTGATGGGAGCAGAAAGCCTTGTTTTACTCCCTGAAAACTGTTGGTGTGTTTGAACTACTGGCTTTGTGGTTAACAGCCTAACACCTGACCCAGTCCTCCACTGGGGCTCCCTTTTAATGATAAGGATGCATGTAAGGAGAGACCTCTGCGGTGGGGTCTTTGCAGGGTACTGGACTAGCCAGACCCAACAAATCACATGACAGGGGTGTGAAACAAAAACTCCCAAGAAGTATAACTCCAGAGTTACCAATGGAAGAGTGCATTATTAGTAGTAGTACTATTTCCCCACATTATTGAATGCTGTTTGGGAGAATAAATGTCTACAGTATAAACCACAAAGAGCTATGAATGATAGAATTAAGCATCTCTAGATTGTGATAGAAATGATAGATTGAAGGATTAAATGATAGCACCTTTCTTGTTGCTGTTGGATGCCTGCTAGAATATCCCGATTCATAAAAGCCACACAGGACAGAAGTGCCTCATCACGCTTTCTTGGCTGGGATCTTCATGGAAGCAGACCACCGGCTCTCTCTCTGATGAAAGAGCCATTAGATGGGTTTGAATGGCCAACCTTTGCGTTATCACCAAGAGCTTACCTTTTGTGCCACCAGGGCAACTTATAGCACCCTTCTCACTGCCATCTAGTCAGCTTGGACTCACGGGGATCCTATAGGACAGAGTAGAACTTTTCTGTAGGTTTCTGAAGATGCAAGTCTGTATGGGAACAGAAGCCTTTATCTTTCGCCTGGTGGGTTCAAACTGCTGACTCCGCGGTTAGCTGCCCAACTTGTAACCCACTATGGCCCCAGAGCTCCCTGCAGTTGTTAGGTGCTGGCTAGTCAGTTCCGACTCTTAGTGACCTTCTACATACAGCAGAATGAAACACAGTCCAGTCCTGCACCTGCCTCACAATTACTCTCATGTTTGAGGGCAGGGTTTCAGCCACTGTGTCCATACTTCTTGTTGAAGACCTTCCTGTTTGCCATCGTCCCTCTACTTTACCAAGCACGGTGTCTTTCTCCAAGGATTAGTCTCGCCTGTTAACATGTCCAGAATAATGTGCGATGCAGTCCCTGCATCCTTGCCTCTAAGAATTCCTTAGGGTTTAGTAATTAGTAAATGTGTCTTCTAGGTGTCTATTTCGCACTAGATGAGAGTTTTTCACCCTTAGCATTGCGGATTTTTAAGTCTAGATAATGTTGTTGTTTTGTACATTGTAGGATGGTTCACAGTATCCCCTCTACCTACTAGTGGTCAGTAGCACACTCTGCCCCCGCACTTCCAGATGTAGTCCCCAAAGGCTCTCAAATTATTTTAAATGTTCCCTGGGAGGCCCCTCTCCCCAAACCCAGTTGAAAATCACTGCTCCAGGCTCCAGGCAGCATGAAGGCAGTCTTGTTTATCTTTGTATTTCCAACACCTATCACAGACCCTGCATATAGTAAACACTTAAAATATTTTTTTTTCTTGAATGAATAAGTGGATATCTTTAAAAATGTATAAGTATGCAATTTCAAGTGTTTAGAGCACTCCAGTTGGCCTCAATGCTATTTGGGACTTAATAGTCTTTCTGCCTCCCTATTTACAGGTGGATTTACTGTGAAGGCCAAACAACTAAGGTTTCCCAACTCCACAAATGTGGTAGCGTTCCCATTTCCTCATGCAGCAATTTTGGAAGACGTGGATGGGTCTCTGTCTGGGAAAAGGAGAAGTCACATCCTTGCTTCAATGGACACTCTGCCAGCATTTTGTTTGGTCAATGCAAGCTTCGGTCAGCTGGTCCAGGGTAGTGTCTGCGGGGAAGACATCCTCTTTCATCGTATGTCTATTGGCTTGTGAGTACCATCAGCTATGCTTTATCTAGTGTGTCAATAAGCCTGCATCTGTCATTCTGACTGTTGAGAGGTAGAGAGGGGAAATGATCTGCTTGATTCTCAACTGGAACTACTTAGTTGCACAAAAGTGATAAGGGAACACTTTGACAGCTGTCAAATCATGGGTTTTAGGTCGTTTTAGGGTGAGTCAAATGGCAGCTGACTTTTGATATCATTGGACCCAATCTCAGAGCTGTGACCTCTCATTGATATTTTGCACTAATATCTTCCTCTTGAAAAAGACCTGAGACCTACAGAGAAGTTGCGATATATTTAAATTAAAAGTCTCATTAAAAAAATCCCAATAAGGTCCATTCTCATTTATATACATGTAAGCTCCCCAAGCTCTTTTCAAGAGTTCAGTATGCTCCAGGAAAGCAATCGCTGAGGCCTCCTATTACTTGCAAAGATGCTTCACTCCCGTTCATTTTCCTTGTTAATTTCATGAACTATTGGATCCGTACAATACATTTCCTATTAATATTGAAACAAGGACTCCTTGGTTATGCTACTCAAACTACCATTAAGTCAGCAGCTGGGCTGTTTATAATGCATAATAGGATTGCTTCTGCCCTCTTTAATTTCCAGGTAATGATTGCTGAGTGTCTAGGGGTCTGTCTTTTACCTATTTCAAATGCATTGTATATATTTAGCCCCCCTTATTTCCTCCTTTGTTTTAACTATCCGAACTTCATGAATATTAAGTCAAGGATTCCGCCAGGCCACATTGGCATCTTACCGGAACAGGTGAATTTCAGAGAATGCGAGTGGATGTGGTTAGGATTGCAGTAACTGCACCTTGACCGCACTTCGAATCAGCACCTTGACATCTTGTGCTGGAGCCATAGCGCAGTTTACTTTCCAGATGGCTTATTGTTCTGTCTGATGGGCCCAAGTTCAGTAAGTAAAATAGAAAAGGGCTTGTTTTTATTTTTAATAATTTTAATGTCCTTTTTCTCAAGGATGCAGCCTAGGTTTTATTGCTATTTTTGTGATTTTTTTGACCACGGAATGTTGTCTATGAATGTTTAGAGATTTATAAAAGCTTAAGATTTATTCTTGCCTGCTTCTTACAAATGAGGAAAATAAAACATCCTCATGTAGTTCAAAGGCATGTAATGGGTTCGTATGATATTTATTCCAAGTGTTCTACTTGAAACTCCTTTATCACTCAAGGCTTTATTATTTCAATAAGACAGTGGTCCAATGTCATATTCTAATCAGATTTAAAAGGTGGGCTACTGTTGTGTTGTTATGTGCCTTCAGTTGTTTCTGACCCATTGCGACTCTGTACACAACAGAATGCGACACCACTCTGTCCTACACCATCCTCACGATTGTCCCTACACCTGAGTCCATTATTCAGACACCGTGTCAATCCATTTTGATGAAGGCCTTCCTCTTTTCACTGCACCTCCACTTGGCCAAGCATTGACTAGATGTGTTACTCGAGTGATGGAAAGGTTGGTGCCCCCAACCCACTCAGAGGTGCCTTGAAGACGAGGCTTGGCTCTAGCAGGGAAGCAATAAAACCCACATGGAAGAAGCACCCCAGCTTGTGTGACCATCAGGTGTTGATGGGATTAGGTATCAGGCATCAGAAGATACAGGACAAACAATCACATCAATGCGAATGAGGAGGGTTGGAATGGAGACCCAAAGCCCATCTATAGACAAGTAGACAATTGAACATCCCCTCACAGAAGGGTCACAAGGAAGGGATGAGTCAGCCATGGTGCAGTATAGCACTGACTAAACACACATCACTCCTCAAGTTCTTTAATACCCCCTCCACAACTATTATGACCCCAGTTCTACCTTATAAATCTGGCTAGACCAGAACATGTACACTGGTACAGATAAGAGCTATCTCTTATCACACAGAACCCAGGATAGATAAATCCCTCAGGAACAGCAATGGGACTAGCAATACTATGAGGAGAAGTGGGGTGGGATGGGGTGGGGGGAGGGGAAGAAAGGGGGAACTGATCACAATGATAGATATATAACTGCCCCCACCTACCCCCACGGGGATGAACAACAGAAATATGGGTGAAGGGAGACAGTGAATGGTGTAAGATATAAAAATAACGATAATTTATAATTTACCAAGAATCTAAGAGGGTGGGAGGGTGGAGGAAGGAGGGCCAAAAGAGGAGCTGATACCAAGCGTTCAAGAAGAAAGAAAATGATTTGAAAGGGATGATGCAAACATATGTACAGATGTGCTTGAGTCAATTGACGTGTGGATTTTTAGGGAGCTGTAAGAGCCCTAATAAAATGATCTGTAAAAAGAAAGAGAGGCAATTTTCTCCCCGCTATGCCGAGCGCCACCATGAGTGGCCATCCATTGCACGGCACCTGGCTGCTTCTGTGGTTTTAGCAGAATGAGCAACAGGCCACAGTCTGCCTAGCCCTTTCCCAGTTTAAAATGAAAATCTCTTATCTTGAAATGCTTTCTCCTCAGTCCCAAGACATCCAGGACACTTGGCCACCCTACTTCCTGGCATTTTTTTTTTAACTTCAAGTAGACCCACACATGGATGGTGGAGTTCCCACAGTCCTCATGAACCCTTAAGAAGTCTCAGCATGTTCTCCATGATATAGCCCTCTGCTTTCGTGTCTGACCCTCTAGGAAAAAGACAGGTGAATGAGATGGTTGCTAAGACCTTGGCAATTCAAAGGTTGGTCCATAGGCCAGCATCGCTTCAGCAGCATCAGCAGCATCTTAGCGTTCATTCAAAATTCAGAGTCTTGTACCCCACCCAGGCCTAGTGAATCAGAATCCATCCCCTGGTGATTCACATGAGAATTTGAGACCCAGCCTTCTAAGGTCCTTCTAACTTTATCTTATGATTCTCTCTCTAGCTATTTGTGCACAGTGACTTGATCTTTGTCCTAAAGCATTATAACCTCATTAGGAACATGTCAGAGCTAATGAACAATTTGAATTCAGTGCAGATACAAACTTTGCTGCCTTTCACGGAGAAAAGGATTAATTTGTTGTGCTATTTGCCCTAGGGCAAGCACCCTAAGAATTGATTTACAAAGCTCTCGCAGGCATGATCTTTTGGGGTTGTGTGTTGATGGAGGTCTGATATGGCACAAGCACCCTGCTGTCTTCATTTTCAATGATTACTCCCTCCCTCAGCATGAGGTCCCTTGGGTGTAAAAGTACCCTAGGACTGACATAGCTGCATAAATAAGACAGCTCCCCAGGCAAAGGACCGCTAGAGCCCCAGCCCTTGGGGTGTGGTTGCCCCTTGGTAGGCTCCTCTCTGCTCCTTTTTGCTGCAAGTTCTCTGTTTGACATTGGTTTGGTTGACATTCTATTATCCCTCACTGACAGATGCCCCCAGTCGAGGTATGTCATGTTTTATAGGTTTCCATGAGAACTTTGGCGGTTCCACAGTAGAATTCTTGCCTTCC